GGCTCGGGTAGCCGGGTGTCTGCGTGTGCGCGTAGGCGGTGTGCGCCTGCGCCGCCGCCCCGCATCCCGGCTGTTCACTGACCTCAGTTTACGGATTGATTTTCATGTAAAACGCGTTCAATCCTCAAGATGACCTCACTCACACTCTGCCCTCCTAATTTTTTTTTTTTTTTAAGAAAACGGCTGTCAGGCCCAGAAACCTGCAAGCGCTGACCTGCCACCAGGGCCGCCCTCCCCCCTCTGTTGTATGTTTAACTCTACAACCGTATTACTGCGTTTTATTGCTGCCAAATACACAGGGCTTTTCCTGTTGCGCAATCTATCACATCCCGGTCTGCAAGGGCGCCCCTCCCCCCGCGTAGGAGAGGAGTCCTTCCCGCGGTTCTTGGGGTCCCGCGGGGAGCCGAGCGCCCGCGCGCCTGGAGGAGGCCAGCCTGCCCTCTGCAGACACCAACTTGAAACTGTCGCGCGCCTCCCTGGGAGTTGGCCTCTCGGGGACGCCGTCAGGGCTGTGTCCTTGTCCTTTTCCATCCCGCACCCCGCCCGCAGCAGGATGCGCGCCCAGCGAGTTCGCAGCCACACAAACGCACACTTGATTCAGCCGTTTTATTGCTTCCTTCTCTGGGACCCGGAATATGCGGGGATGTGGGAGACGCCAGCTCCACGCACCCTGTTGTGCCTCCCGCCGGCTCTTTTCCTGACTCCCACGGGCAGCTTCCCCGTGGAGGAGGGGGGGAGGGGGGGAGGCGAAGGCCCGGGTCGAGGCAGAGTCCCCAAGGCGAAGGGCTCCCTGGCCTCAGGCCTTTCTGACTCCCCATCCCCCACCTTCCCGCCCCACGCCCTCTCTCCCTCCCCACCTCCTCCCTCCACCTCTGAAGTTTGCTCTTCAAACTTGCCGGACACCATTCTGCGCTGGAGCCAAGAAAACAAGAGGGGGAAGGGAGCAGGTTAAGGAAAACAAGAGGCTCGACCAGCCCTCAGCCAAGCCGGGGAAAGAGTCCCGGCCGAGGAATGCGGCTTTCAGATAAAGACTGTTTGTCGTCCGGCCCGCCCCGGCCGCATTGAAAATTATAACTCACTGGGCCTTTCACTGCTGGCTCTCGCCCACCCTCAGCTCTGCTATCAGCGTCCCCCTCCCTCTCTACCTTTGGCTTAATTCTCACCTCAGATAGGCCTAGGGCAGGAGGGAGGGTCCAAAGATAAGGTGAGGCTTTGGGCTCTTTAAGAAGTAGTGTATTTTGCTTGATTTCTGCAAAATTGCACCTTGGGCCTCCCTCTGGCCTCCAGGTGAGGGAGTGTGCCCTCCCCAGGGAGAAGGGTGGGGCCCCTCACAGGTGCAGAGAAATGGGCTACAGCAAGGGGTGGCAGTGGGTGGGGGACACCTTGGGGAAGGTGGGGGACACCTTGGGGAAGGTGCAAGGCATGGACAAGGGTACCCCTGGTAAGTTCTGCAGCCTTTGTCTGAAAACACAGTTCACTCTTCCCCCCAAAGTCTCATCTGCTCCCCAGGCTGGGGTCGGAGCTCTGCTCATTCTGGGTTTGGAGACAGGCCCTCAGCTCATCTCTGAAGAGGAGCTGCTCCTCCTGCAGACACCCCTTCCCAGCCTGGCGCCCCCTCTTCTGGGCTGACGGCGCCCCCTCCAGGTCTCACCTATGGCCCCCTCCTAGTCTGCAAGGGAGTCTTCTGAGCTGCCTGGGGAAGTGGGTGTGGGCCAGATGCTAATGTCCACGCTGCCCCCTTCTCTCTGCAGAGGTGTAAAGACAAGTTAAATGCTTTGGCCATCTCAGTGATGAACCAGTGGCCAGGAGTGAAGCTTCGGGTGACCGAGGGCTGGGACGAGGACGGCCACCACTCTGAAGAGTCGCTGCACTACGAGGGCCGAGCCGTGGACATCACCACGTCAGACCGGGACCGCAGCAAGTACGGCATGCTGGCGCGCCTGGCCGTGGAGGCGGGCTTCGACTGGGTGTACTATGAATCCAAAGCACACATCCACTGCTCTGTGAAAGCAGGTGAGTGACCCTCTCCCTCCGTCCTCTACCCCCATCCCCCAGCTCCAGATCCGCCCACAAGATGTCACCTGTGTGCCCTGCGGCCTGATTCAAGGCAAAGCAAAAGAAATAGGGAGGGGGCTCGAGGGCCAGAGAAGGGCATGTGTTTCTGCAGTGGGCAGGTACTCTGTGAGGCTCGTCCCCAGCCAGGCATTGCCCGCCCCCATTTAAGGCTGCAAAGGCCGGAGGTCCTTTGAACACTGATGCAGGGGGCATGTGGCTCCTGAGACACCCCACCCGCTTCTGGAGCGCCCACTGGAGGTGGCGGAGAGAGGGGAGAGAGATAGGGGACATTCTGATGAGAGACTGCAGCCCTGCTGTTAGCCAGCTCTGGCTTCATCCTTCCTCTCATTTAGGGCTTAAGAATCAACCGCCCCCCACCCTCCACCACCCGCCCCAGAACAGGAACTTGTGTCCAGGGTGTAGGCCCCTGTCCTCTCCCCTCCCCGCGAGCGCCTGCGGATTCTAAACTAACTTAACTCACTGGCACAGCCCTTGGGGAGAGGCCTGGTGGGAGTAATAAACTCAGCAGCCACCACTTCCAACATCTGGACGCCGCAAGCCCAGAAGCACCGCCAGGCTCGTTAGCAGCAGCTCGCAGTGCCACAGGCAGGGCCTGGAAGCGGAGTCTGCAGCTGCGGCCGGCGGCCTGGTTGGCCCGGAGCGCTTCCCTTCCCCAGGCCTGCACCGCCCCGCGCAGTCGCTGGCGAGGAATCGCTCCGGAGGGAAGGCTTTACGCCCACACGCGCGAATGTCCCAACTTGGCGACTGTTTGCGCCACCTCCGTGTAGCCTGAGCGGGCGAATTTAGCAAAACAGTTCACACTGAATTCCGAGGAACCGTGTCTCCCCGCTCGCCCCGGTTTTGCCTGTTTCTCCTAAGCTGTATTTTAATAGCAGATGTGAGTAGAAAAAGACTTAGTAGGTAAGGAAAGTAGTGGCTTCTATTCACACCAGAAAGAAAAAGAGTGTCAGGGACGCTGTGGAGGGGGTCCCCGCCTTAGGAGGAAGGAAAGGCGGCGCTGCGCGCCCACTTCGCGGGGAACTTTCTGCCGGGTTCTTCCCTACTGCCGCTCCCCTGACCCCCTCCCCACCCCTGCAGTCAACCGCGCTCCCTTCCCGGGACCTCGTGGCTGCACTTCTTGGGGCCACCCCTGTCCGTGGGGTCCCCCTGGCGGGGGTGCTCTTTGCGGGGGTGTTCCCTAGAGATCGCCTCGAAAATGAGCAGCGGCAATCCGGCCCCAGGGCCCCGCGGGAGCAGACCCGCGCACAGAGCAGCTCATTGGCATTCCGTGCACACGG